CGACGTGGACGGCGTCAATGCCCCTGCCGATGCTGTACTAAAGCTCACAAGGTGCGCAGCGGCGTCCGCGGCGCTGAGTAGAGCGTCGGCCGGGGCCGCGGCTGCCTCGGCGGCGACGCCATCGCCCTGCGTAGACGAGAGCTGCTCGCCGCCCATGCACCCTGCTCGGGCGAGGGCGTCGCGGGCGTCGGGAAGGGCGACGAGGGCGTCGGGGACGGCGACGCGCGGAAGGGCGTCGCGGGCGTCGGGAAGGGCGCCAGGAAAGGCGCCGTGGGCGTCGGGAACGGCGTCGGGGAGGGCGTCGTCGATGTCCATCGGCGCGACCTCCTTGTCCATCCGCGCGACCTCCGTGTGGCGAACATCCTGAGAGTCGACGTCGACGTCGTCAGCCTGGGCGTCGCCGTCATCAGCCTGGGAGTCGACGTCGTCCTGCGAGCTCCAGGGTCGGGGCCTGACGTCGCGCTCCAAGTCCGAGTCCGACGCGATGATGCCCCGAGGAGCTGGGCTCGAGCACTCGCTGAGCGCGGACGCGGGCTCGGACGCCGCAGCGGCGCTGAGCGCGGCCGCCATGCACCGCGCTTGAGGCGCCGAGGCAGCGATCATGAGAGGGCCGAGCAAGAAGCCGCGCCACCAAGCCACCAGCACGTCTGGCGCCTCGGCAACAGACGGGCAATTCTCATCATGACTGTCCTCCTCATTCCCGTCAAGAGGCTTCTTGCTCTCCGTGGCGGCCCGTCGACGCGCCGCTCGCAACTGGCGCGCCTCGCGGAGAGGGCTGGGCGACGGGGGCGTTCTGGATCGCCTCCTCGGGCCAGGGTTCGGCGACCAGGGCGCGCAGGGGCCCCCCTCCGGCGGGGCGCGCGCGGCGCGCGGGTCCGCCTCCGGCACTTCCCGCGAAGCAGCCGAGCGCTACCAGCGCGGAAGCACCGTGATGGCCCCAGCGGGCGGCGCCACCGCCGCGGCTGGGATGGCCACCTCGGGCGTAGCGGGCGCGAGCGAAACCCGCCAGCTCGGGCGACTGCTCCTCGGCAGTGTCCAGCGTTCTGGTGGGCGCGAGGGCATGGGAATTGGCCCCCGCCCCCTTGCCAGAGACCGCGCCGGGCTCCCGGCCGCTAGCTCCAGGGGCACCGGGGAGGGTGCCAGGCCGTCCGCATCCAGCGCCGGGAGCGCCGAGGGCGCTGGCGCACTGGGAGCAGCCGAAGCTCGGGCGCCCTGCTCGGCCGCAGGCGCAGCGGCCGCTGCGGTTGTTGCTGAGCTCGGAGCGCACCCGCTACCGCGGCTTCGATCGCCACCTGGAGCCACGCGCTGGCGTCGTTCATGCCCCATGTAATGCGCGAGGCTGGGCGGCGCAAGCGGCAGAAGGCAAGGAATATAGAAAGGGTAGCAGATATTGCGGAGATAACTCAGCCAGAACAGCTTGAGCCAGAAAAGCTCGAGCCAACCTCCCCAATCCTAAGCGCCCCACCGCTCGGCTGTAGAACTGTGGCAGGCGCGGGTGGAGAAGTCGTGCAGTGGCGGAAACGCTGTAAATCAAGCAAATGTTAGCCTGCGCGGACCACAGTCTGTCTCTGGTAATCTATGCTGCGCAATACACGCTGCGCAACCGGCGCGGCGTTGTCTAGGGTGCGTAATATTTGCAGCGTTGGCGCGGTGCAAGCTACATTGCGCAAGCTACGCGTGCAATCTGCGTCGTGAAAAACTTGTGCTGCTAGCCACGTTGCGAGCGATCGCGAGGCGCACCGCGGGCGCGGAAATCACGTCGCGCAACCAACGCGCTGCATTCGATGCGTGGCAACCCATATGGTGCAACCTACGCGGTGCCATTTACCCTGCCAACCTTGAACTTGCCAACTTCACTGCTCGCGCCATCGTGCCACCCACCCGCCCTTTACTTGTTTTGCAAAACCCACGCTGTGGCCACTGCGATGATCTCCGCGGCCGCGCTCGCGCGCAGGCTCGCGCGCAGAGCGGCCAGCTAGTTTGACGCGAACGACGCGGCCGCGGCGGCGCTGACCGCTGGGGGGCCCCCCAGCGCGTCTCGCAAGCAGCGCTGACACGCGGGCGGCGCGGCATCATGGCGACGTCGGCAAGTGCAGACACCATGATGATCATGGCAGACACATTGGCAATGGAGGCGGCAATGCTGATCACGCCGATGGCGATAACAGTGCCCTCGCATCAGTGGCGGAGGCGTTGAAAAGTTCGACGCGCGTGCGAAACCGGCGCGCGCGAGCGGCTCGCATGGCGTTCTTTGACAGGGATGGCGCCCACCCACCCCCAGCGCGCGCGCCAAGGCATTCGAATGATGTCGACATGCGGCGCGGGGGGATGGTTTGGCCATGGTTCATGACCATGTTTTACGGCCGACCGCTTGGCTCAGAATTCACGAGGGCGCGAGCGAATGTGTCTCTCTGCGGTTGAAGATCCCTGTTGCGAATCTACTAGCGCTTGATACCTGTTCGGAACACTTGATGTTGAAAATCTTGCGGCACCTCGAATGTTGGGGGGGGTTCGGCATTCGTGCGCGACGACGCGCGCGCGCGCACTTCGCCCCTTTGTTGCAACACGTGGATGCGACACCGCGCGCGCAAAGACGTTCGAACGATGCCGACACTTGCGCGCGAGAGGCGCATCAAGATCAATGACAAAGACAACGCAGATGGCGAACCGATGGTTCTCTTACGAGCGAACGCGAGCGCATGCTTTTTATACAAGAAAAAGTTGCGAAACCCTTACTTCTCACAGTTCCAGGCCCCTCGTTCTCTATGTTTCAAGAAAGCGATGCTTCCTGGAAAATGTTGGCACGTGCGCGCGACAACACGCGCGCGCGCACTTAAGCCCATTGTTTGAAAGAGGCTCGCGCGTGCACGCAGACATGTTTCCACAGGGCGACGGGGGTATTTGCGCGAGCGTCTGGAGTTAAATGAACTTAGATGGGCGGGCACGCAGAATCTGATGCGAAATGCATTACGAAAAGGTGGGGCATAAAGTCCAGGGGGGGGGGCGCGAATACTCTTTCAAAGAAGAGAATCTACGCGGCGCAATTCATTTTGGCATGAGATAAACAGGATCAGCCAGCTCCACTCCTCGGGCGACCACCACGCCCACCCACCTGCAATTTGGCTTGCTAAACCATGCGGCGGTGATTGCGATGAGAGCTTGGTCTTGGCCGGTGCATCCACGCGGCCGCGCTAGCCGACGCATGCTCGCGCGCGCAGCGTCTGCTCGCCTGGCGCGGCCGACGCGGCCGCGGTGGCGGTGACCGCTGGAGACCCCCAGCAGTCACTTCAGTGCGAGTGGGTGACTTGGGGGGGAGCGGTATTATGGCGACACCGGCAACGGTAAACACGATGATGCTGATAGTTGAGATGGTGGTGACGGTGATGACAGTGACGGCACAAGGGCAATGACGGCGCCGATATTGATCAAGCCGATGACGATGACGGTGTCCTCGCATCAGTGATGAACGTGTTGGTTCGACATGCGTGCGCGGCCGACGCGCGTGAGTGGCCCGCATGGCGCTGTTTGACAGGAGCCGTGCCCCCCCCCCTCCCCCAGAACGCGAGCCAGGGCGTTCGAGTGAATTCGACATGCGGCGCGGGAGGATGTTTGGCACAATTGGGCGAAAATGTTGTACAACCGATTGATTTGCTGAGTTCGCAAGAGCGCGAACGCAGGTGCTGTTTTCGTGACTACTGTCGCTGCAAACCCAGAAATACTCGCAGAAGCGCGAATGTATGCTTTGTTTGAAGCTTCCCATTACGAAGCCAATTACCTTTTCGGTAAAAAAATGTTCGGGACACCCGGCTCAGACATCCATACGGACTTTGAGGTTGTTGAAGGATGTCGGCATGCGCGCGCGCAGGCGCGCTCGTGTGAATTGCACCCTCGCTTTAATAGTACTAATAATATTATTATGCGTTTTTGCAAAAGGCCTCTTGGCAACCGGAGGAGTTTAATGATCGCGCGTGCGCGCACACAATTCTTTGCCATGGGTGAGACGGGGTTCGATGAAGGGACTGCCTGGATGGAACGGACTCATGATTGCACGAGCGTGCAGAATCGCATCGGACAAGCAATACGGAAACACCTAGCGTGAAATCGGGTGGGAGGTACATCTGCGTACCTTCTCGGGAACGGAACGTTTACGTAGTGCACTCTATTGTGTACGATATACGGTGTGCTATGTATGCGGTTCCGCCATACCTTGTGTTTGCACTATCTAGTGCAACCGATGTCGTGCAATGCGTATGGTGCAGCACCTGTTGAGCAAGACATGAGCGACGACAAAGTCCACCACAGGCGCATTTTTTTAAGACGTGCAACCTGCGTAGTGCAATTCAACGGCGGCGACGGGCAACGACGAGGTGGCGACGGGGCGGCGACTGCAACCACATAGCCGCCAGACTGAAGACACGGCCCAGACGACGGGCGGCGACGAGGCGGCGACGGCGGCCACATAGCTGCCAGACAGAAAGACACGGCACAGTTCTTCTGAGAAAAAATAAGAAACCCAAACTGTAAACACTGTTTGGGGCATGATACCGCGTGAAGAAAGCACGATATATCGTACTGGTTGGACGCGACTGATCCAAAATGGCAGCGGTGCAGCGTAGCGCTCCTACACCTTCTCCCAGAGACGTATATTTATACTCCGGCCACCCCTCCCCAAGACAGCCCAAGGCGGCCCAAGGCCGCACCAACAGGGCTTCAAGATGGCCCCACGACAATGCATCGGCCCCAGGATCGTTGAAACGAGCCTATTTGGAAGAGCTCGGTGGAACCATCCTACTCGAGATGGCACCGAGACCTCGACAAGCCCCCACGAGGCGCCCCCGAAGCCCCCCGAACAAGTCCTGGGTAGCACTTGACAGCTGTGGCGCGGCCGCCCTGAGGGCCCCAAGATGTGTCGGCCGAGACTACTTGGGAAAGCCGGGTGGAGGCATCGTGCATCGATGTCGATGCCATGCTGGCACGGTGGCGGGGTTGCCGCAGGCAGCAGGATGCGCGTCTATCTCGGACGGAGGCATTTCGAGCTGACGGGACAAGTTGCGCAGCTCAAGCTCTTCGGCACCTACATTGAAATGCTCATCGAAACTATGACTCGAGAACCAAATAGCGAACTCGTAGAAACTGATGGAACCATTGCCGTCCTTGTCCGCTACACTGAAGGCGCTGTCCACCAAGCAAGTCTCCATGACTTCATCCATAGACTCCGTCATTTGCCTCATGACGCTCGCGAGATTCGCCCTCGTCAGCTCCCCGTCCGCAAAGACTGAGCCCCCTTCTGGCACTGTCGCGTGCTGCCTGAACAGCGTCATCGCCGCCTGCATGCTCTCCATCGGAATCCCGTTCTCCCGCTGCAGCTGGCAGATGTCCTTCATCGCCTCCGCCTGTCGGTCTCGGCTAGGACGGGGACTCCGCGGCGTCTGCGCCTGTGACCACAGCCCGCCCGAACGCCACTCCTCTTGCGGCTCGCGGGTGCTTGCAACAGAGCCCCCAGCCTCAGAACGGGCGCTCAGCCGAGGCAGCTTCATGCACGACGTGGATCTACGGGGCGACCTCTCCGCCTCAGAACGCGTGCTGACTCGAAGCCTGCTGTTGCCCGACGTGAGCCTCGTGGAATCGCGGGGCAGGCTGCCGACGGCCCCGTCGTCGGGTGTGCGCAGGGACCTCGCGGATCGCGGGTCGTGCTGCTTCCCCCTGTCGTTGGCAAGCTGCGGCATGGACCCCACCCGGGGCAGCGACGAGTAGTCCTCCCCTCTCTGCGGCGGAGCCAGTGAGGGCGCGCGCTCCTTGCTGCGGCGCGAAGCGCGCTTTTCTAAAAGTTCCGGCAGCGAGACCCTTGTTGCAGACAGCGACGCGTCCTGCCTGCCGCCGGTGTGGCTGGATGGCCGGCGCCCCGCGGCATCCCCAGGCTCCGGCGCCAGAAACGGCCCGCTCCTGGCATGCGGGGAGTCGGCCTCTGTGCGCGCCCGCGCGCCCGGCATGTGGAACACCAGGCAACAGATCTACAGCCAACCCGTATCGGAGAAACGTAAGACTCGGGATCGAAGGACGCGGTTTGGCCTGACGGGGCCACCATGAAAATGGCGAGACCCTGCCCGAAATTTGACGCGAGCTCCCGCTGCAAGCATCCCACGGAAACTGGACCGTCAGGATCCAAGACGCGCTCGTCAAAAAACCTCGGCAAACACGAGTTCCGGCGTACTCGAGTATTTCGTTTCCCCAGCCGTGTGAGAAGGACGCACGATAAGGATGCAAGAGCCTTGGAAGGCCATGTCGACACTTTGCGGGCGGGGCGCGGCCAAAGCAGCCAAGGATAGGCCGAAGGGGTAACATCGGAAAGTTGCTATGCGGGCTGGCTGTAGCCATCGTGACAGCGATCCCTGTCCGGCTGGACAGGCGCTGTCAGCTTGGCCAGACCTGCCGCCAGCGTGACGAGACCTGCTCCCCGGTGGGCCTCGGAGGACAGCGGATCCAGAGGCACAGGCCCTGCTGTCGGGCGGTGCGGCGCGGGGCACGCCAGGGGCGGCGCCGGAGGCGCCGCCGAGGGTGCCCCAGCGCAGATCCAAGACATCCGCGCGGAGCGCCAAAAGGTTGTATTCGTGTCCTGTTTTCTTCTTCGAATGCCGGACGCCCCTGAAGGGGCCCTGGAACACACAAATAAAAACACACAAATAAAAAGGTGCCCCATATGTTCCCATATTTTCTGGGTTTCTGTCTTCCCCCCCACTTCCCATATTTCCCCATATTTTCTGGGGGATCGACGATTAATTGTGTCTGTGTGTTTTTTCCCTCCTGAGCCCCGAGCTCCAACCTGTCGCCATCCCTTGGGGGCCCACCTCGCTGACGCCCGCGGGCGCCCGCCGGCCTCTCTGCCGGCGTCCGCCCGCGGAGCCGCCCCCGCTTCTCTCCCGCCGGCCTTGCGCCGAGGACGAGACGACCTCTCTGTTCTGGAGAGGTAGGCCCCAAAAAATACCAATGCCGCTTCACCCCCTCGGCCCTCTCCCGGGGTGCGTTCTGATCAGCAGTTCGAGGCGAATCCAACGGTGGCGGCGAGGGCCGGGTACCTAGAGGGCTCCTAGATGGGGTCGGAGTAGATGGGGTCGGAGGATCGCGCCGCATCGCCGATACATCGGCGATGCATCGGCGATGCACCGGCGATGCATCGTCGACGTGGGCTATGCATCGGCGACGTCGACGTGAAGCAAATCGGGCTCCGCATCGAGCCGCATCGGCGATGCGGAGCGATCCTCCGAACCCATCTACTCCGACCCCATCCAGGAGGCCTAGAGTATCCCTCCTTCTCCTCTGGCTCTAGGCGCCCTAGGAGACGACAACTCCTTCGACCCTCGCAAGCGAGGGCCCCCTCTGGGGCGCCCCAAGCGTGCCGATCTCCCACTCTGGGCGCGCGGGGCCGCTGCTCTCCACTAGAGGGCAACAAAATCCACCCCCATAAGGAGCGCTAGAGTGGAGCCGTTTAGTGAACGCCCAGGGCCGTTTAGAAAACGCCCAGGGCCGTTCAGTAAACGCCCAGGGCCGCTTCGTAAACCCCAATGATAATCACCCCACGGAAGGAGTCGAACAGGGCAGGGCTGTTCAACAAACGCCCAGGGCCGTTAAGTTCGGCGGTGGCAAAACCTCCCTTCAGTAAACCTCCCTTCAATGAAAACAGCCTGAGGCCGAAACCGACGGACCTGGACCCGCAAGGGTGACGGTCGCGACGCCCTCCCGCGAACCGAGAACGGCCGACTCGCGGATCCACGTGTCAGGGCTGGAGGTCGATCTACCTTCGACATTTCGTAAACGTCGGCTACCGGGCCCGGGTGGCTTCGCCTCCCCTGGTCCACGTCGGCGGAGCGGCCTCGCCCTGCCGCGACCCTGGCCGCGGGCCGCCCCCCCCGCGCGCCGAGCCCTGCCCCGCGCAGGGGGCTGCACGCGGGAGCGGCCCCCCTCCCTGGAGGAGGAGGAGGAGGAGGAGGAGGAGGAGGAGGAGGAGGAGGACGGAGGAGGAGAGGAGGAGGAGGAGAGGAGGAGGGCGGACGAGACGAGGAGGAGGAGGAGAGGAGAGAGGAGGAGGAGGACGAGGGAGGAGGAGGAGGAGGAGGAGGGCCCCGGCAGGCCCGGTGACGTGCCGACCTCGGCGCTGGAGCTGCTGCTGCGGTGGCAGCTCGCGGGAGCCTCCCCGCGCCCTCCTCCTCCTTCCTCCTCCTCCACCTCCTCTCCTCCTCCTCCTCCTCCTCCTCCTCCTCCTCCTCCTCCTCCTCCTCCTCCTCCTCCCCTCCTCCTCCTCCTCCTCCTCCCCTCCTCCTCCTCCTCCTCCTCCTCCTCCTCCTCTCCTCCTCCTCCTCCTCCTCCCCTCCTCCTCCTCCTCCTCCTCCTCCTCCTCCTCCTCCCCCTCCTCCTCCTCCTCCTCCTCCTCCTCCTCCTCCTCCTCCTCCTCCTCCTCCTCCTCCTCCTCCTCCTCCTCCTCCTCCTCCTCCTCCTCCTCCTCCCCCTACTCTTCCTCCTCCTCCTCCGAATCGGCGCTCGTCGACGCAGGCGTGGGCGCCAACCGGCGCCGGCCGACGCTGGGTCGGCGCTATCTCCCCGGCTCCCAGACGCCAGCCGGCTCCCATCGACGCCGAAGACGGCACTGCGAGGGTATAGACCGGGCGCCCATGGTTTGCCACCGAAGGTTTCTGACACCGCGGGGGTCGTTCAGCCTCGAACGTTCGGCCGTTTCCGGATCGTCAGATCGCTCCACATCGACCGATTCTGGGTCGACAGCGGAATTCAACGTTGAACGCCAGCGGCGGAGTCGCCGCCAGTCGACGCGACGCGAACCTACCATGAGAGCGACCTTTGGTGCGCGGCTTTGGGGGGGCCGCTGGGAGACCGAGCGCAAGCGCGCAATAGACGCCACTCTCGCAGCGCGCTCGGCGATCGAGGGGCCCCAACGGGGTCGCACCAAAAGTCACTCCGGCGAAGGTCACCCGCCTGGAACATATCCCTATCCCTATGCTGGGCATCTCCTCATCACGATGCCAATCTTAGGGACTCCCTCATTTTTTTTGAGGGCGCATCCCTAAGATTATCATCGCCTTTTGGCGTATCAAACTCAGGGATAGGGATACGTTCGAGGCTGGTAAGATTTGGACGCCCGACATGGGCACGGAAACAATGGGCACAATGCCCAACAGCAAATGTCGTCCCCAACCAACAGCGGCCGCTGTTGGGCAGGCGGCCTTCTGCCTCACATGGACGCAGGCCGCGGAGGCGCGGACAGCGAGCCCTGTTCAGAATGAACGAGAACTGCTGCTGAACACTGTGCCCCTTCTTCCCGTGCCCATCTCCATCGTGCAAATAAAGAAGGGCCGCTCTTGCGTGCAGTCCGCGCCCTGGCCTCCCGAGAGCCCGGCGGCCGGCCGGCGCCGCCCAGCGTCGAGGCCCGCTGCGGCCTGCGCCCGAGCTCCATCGGGCTCGGCAGCGCCTCCACCGCCGACGGCCGGGCCGGCAGCGTGCGGAGCCTTGCGGGCCGGCGCGACGTGTGCACGTCCACGGAGCACCTACTTACCAGACCACCCCACCCCAGCCCGAAGACCCGAACTTGACCCCAATATCGGGGTGGGGGGGGTACGGGTCCCACGTGTGTTATTTCAACGTTCCCCCATCCCCCCCCCCCCACTGGAAAGGGAGGGCAGATTGAGGGCTTCGGGTTGGGTTGGGGTGGTTTGGTGGGTGGTGATCCACCGGGGCCAGGGGCGGTCTCCACGCCCTCCTGGCTTGGCCAGGGAGGCGTAGCCCCGACCAGGGAGCTTATACAGGCCAGGGATGGGGTGCCGCTGACCAGGAAGCCCACAAAGGACGCACGCGCCCCACCATGTGCATGAACACGGCCGCCCGATCTGCGAGACTGGCCGCGTGATGCGAACGTTCGCGCAATGCGTACTCTCGAAAACCAGCGCGGATTCATGTACGTGTACGTCCTTTTTGTGCTCCTGGCCGACATCCGCCGATCTGATGTTTTCAATCCACGGCCCCAGACGTCCCGACCCGGTCCTCAGGCAAGCTCAGAACCAATGAGTTGGGTGGGCGATCGAAATGAACCAGATCGGCAGAAAAACCGGCAGCCGAGTCGGGAGAGGTATCGGCGGAAATCGACAGGCCAAAGGGCCTCCGTCGAGACATCGGAGCCCAGATCGGAATCCGAGGCCGAGCCGAATCGGAATCGGATTAGAAGAAAAAGAATAACAACTCTTGGCGTTCCCTGGCGCCCCCCTCCCTGGCGCGCGAAGCGCGCCGGGGGCGGCGCCTCCAGCGCCGCCGGGAGGCTCCCAGCGCGGATCCGAGAAATCCGCGCGGAGCCCCAAGAGTTTGTGTTTACATCGCATTTTCTTCTGACGACCTACCAGACCACCCCAACCCAACCCGAAGACCCCAATTTCGGGTTGGGGGGGGGTACGGGTTCCATATGTGTTTTTGTTCAATGTTCCCCGCCCCCCCCCCAACTGGAAATGGAGGGCAAATTGAGGCCTTCGGGTTGGGTTGGGGTGGTTTGGTGGGTGGTGATCTTCTTCGTCGACGGATGCCAGTGACACCGAGTGGAGACGACCAGCGAAGGGAGTCGAGGGGAGCCCCTGCTTCTCCGGGGCCGGTCTCCCGAGCCCCAGAGGTGCCCCGGCGACGGGCCCCACAGAAGAGGCCCAGACGAGGAGGAGGAGGAGGAGGAGGAGGAGGAGGAGGAGGAGGGAGGTCGTGTTTTTACTTCCGGACGTAACGCGTGTCTACCCCCCCCCCCCCCCCGACACCCCCCCACGCAACAGTCGCGCGGTCGCGCGGGGACACCGGCTACAGGCGTGAACGCGCGCAGTCGCGCGCAGTTTCCCATGGAGCTGGCAATGAACTACAGCGATGGGATCTGGGTATACAACCGACACGTACAGGATGAGCTCGACCACAAGAAACCCTCCACAAGAAGCCCGACCCTGAGACCCCAGGACGTCAACTGATTTCTGGTGTGGGAGCGTCGCGCTTTCCATTGCAAAACCAGCGA